CCCCTATGCTTTGACCTCTACACAGTGTGGATTTATGTCCTTCACAGGGAAGGGGAATGATGCAGAGGATGGGATACTTCCAGTAACCCTCATAGAGGCATAGACAGAAGAATGAGAAAGAAAGGGTGGTTAGCACACAGGGCTGAGACTCAGGAGACCTGGGGCGGGTTGGTGCAGAATGAGAGCAAGGAGGTGCTGCTTTGCAAAGAAAAAAAACAGAGCGAGAATACAGTAGACAGAGGTCAGCCGGATGGGTCAGGGATCATCAGAGAGTTTGGACAGTGCCTAGCGCAGTGGGATCCTAATCTTGATTGGGGCCTGTGTGTGCTACTATGACACAAATAAATAATTGTGGGGCAAAAGTGGAGATAATGTGTTGGAGATGGAAGTAGGAAAAAAAGGGGAGAGGGAAAAGCAAGAAGAGAGAGAACTTAATTTAGTGAATATTTGTGCTCTTTTGTTTTACTGTATTTCCAGGACCATGATTTTCCAAGCTGCTCCACAGACCCTTAAACCTGCATGGAGCTCTTAAGAAGTCAATGAGGCTCTGGGGGGCATGGCTCAGCATTCATGTCATGCTCCCCATCAGTACCAAGCCCAGGCCAGGGAAGCTAAAGATCCAACCAGTGGACCAAATTCAGTGATGAGTCCTGGTCACATGCCACCTGAGGCACATTGTGAACATGTTAAGAAGAACGAGGCTCCAAGCATTGGTTCATCCATATGGAACAGTGGATGGGACAGTTACTCAGAGCCCTTAGGCTGCAGTTGCTCACCATGCTGGATTCTAGAGATAAATATTTGGAGGAAGACAAAAAATAACCTGATCTCTGTCAAACTGCACACAAAATGCCCTGATAGGTGGGGGGGGGAGGGTCTGATTGCTGCAGGGCTCCTTATTTATTTAGAGCATTTCCCCACTGAAAGGTTTCAGGTGTTTGCAACTCCACCAGGACCTTCACAGCTGCAGCTTGGCTCCACTTGTCCAGCAGCAGGAGGGGAGGCGATGGTCACCAACACACATGTTTTGTTTCAAATGAGTCTCTGTTTAGAAGCACCCCAAATCCTAAAGCCCTGCTGACAAACAATTGATCCAGGCTAATCTTAAAACACCCTTCAATAGTCACACCAAATTAGAGTGGTTTCTTTGGTTAAACACACACTTTTGTGGGCACAGCTTGTGTCGTTTCAGCCAGGTGGGATTTAAAACGGCCAGTCTAGATGCCCTTAAAATGGAGTCTAATGGAAGTAGGGTGACCAGATGTCCCGATTTTATAAAGACAGTCCTGATATTTGGGGCTTTTTCTTACATGGGTGCCTATTACCAAGTGTGAAAAATGGAGACAGAGGGTGGGGGGTATCTGGTCACACTAAATGGAAGTGATAGGGGCCTGATGCAAGTCCATTGAAATCAATGGAGGACTTTTCACAGGCTTCAATGAGCTTCAGATCAGACCACAACAGACCTTTTACTAACATATTACTACCCCTAAGGGCTGCTAGAAATAATGAAGTAAGATTCTCCAATTTAGGATTCTGTGAACAGGACATAGAAGCTGACAATGCAACCAAACTGCCCCAAACTCTATGATTTTGAAACACAACATGATACCATAGGAAAGTCAAGCACAGAGAGTGAGGATAATGAATAGAAGTCATTTGATTTCTTTTCAACTAACCTCAGTTCCTGGGAAGATCAATCTGAGCTTTTCAACTTGTGAAATTGCTCCTCTCGCTCAGCATCCCATACTGACTTTAGAAGAGGATTGCACTGACAGTCTGCTGGTACCTGTGGAAGAAACTGTTAAGTATAACCAGAGGTGAAAGTAAGCCGGTCCGCTCTGGTGTACCGCCAAGAGCCAGTACGCCATGCTGGACTGCAACAGCTTCCGCAGCTGGGATTAAAAGGGCTCTGGGCTCCCCGCAGTGGCGGGGAGCTCCAGGGCTGGGGCCGGGATTTAAAGGGCTCAGAGCTCCCCACCACTGCAGGGACCCCAGAGCCCTTTAAATCCCGCCCGCAACTCCAGCGGCAGGGATGGGGCCAGGATTTAAAGGGCTCGGGGCTCCCTGCAGCCACGGGAGCCCCGAGCCCTTAAAATCCCAGCTGGAGCTGCGGTGGGGATTTAAAGGGCCCAGAGCTCCACGGCAGCCAGAGCTCCAGGCCCTTTAATTTGCCCATGAGCCCCTGGGGCTCCCAGCCACCTCTGCAGCTGGGAGCACTGGGCTGATTTAAAGTCCCTGGGCGCCACAGCCAGTGCCCCTGGGGTCTTTAAATCTTGAGAGGCTCTGCCTCTTCTGGTTGAGGCCATGCCTTTTCTGGATGAGGCCATGCCCCCCAGGACTCTGGCAGTACAGGTAAGTCCTATAAATTACTTTTACCCCTGAGTATAACACAGTGGAAATGAAAGCAGAGAGTCTCTGCATATCCCACTCCTTGACTGTCAGTTAGGCCAGACTCCTATTGTAGTAACTGAATACATGATCGCACTACACTGCACTGGGGAAAGAATCAAAGAAATCAGCTAGCCTACTACAAACTTTACACCTGTCAGAGACTACTTATGAATGGAATTTGATACTTTCAGGCTAATGCCATTATTTACTATTGTATTACGGTACGGTCTAGAGGCCCTGGAAGACATCAGGGACACATTGGGCTAGCACTGACAACACATAATGAAAAGATAGTCCTTGCCCCTTTATTCTCTTTCCCCACTCTCCATATTTTTGGGTCCCCCAGGTAGTTTCAGTGGCATTACACCAGTTCTTCTTTTCAGAGATACCCCGCTAGGTAGATGAGAGGGATTATGCAGTCCAGCGCAAGTCCCACTACTGCTGTCCTACGGGGGGGGTGGTGTGTGGAAGAAATCCACCCCCCTCTGTATCCAGGCACTGATTGGTAGACAGTGTCTCCGCAAAGAGCCAGCACAGTGAGAAGGCAGCAGCAGACAGAGCTGGGGGCAGATACAGAGAGGGTACTGTGGAAGGAGCTCAGACCATGCTTCCTCGCTGGTGGCACCCCATAGCTCTGGTAGCGTAGCCAGGAGGCAGCATTAGCAGAAAACGAGTGTGAGTGGGAGGTGCAGCACAGCTGAGCTCATGTCTATCTCCCGGCTCTCTAAAGCCCCGCCAGCGCAGGGCAGAGGGGGCAGCAAGCTGGAGGGGGAGAATGGAGATCCTTAAGACAGCTTAGCCCAGGCCTCGCTTCTGTGGGTTCTTACCGGGCCGAGGCGGGGTCAGCTCAGCCCGGGCCCGGTTCTCCGGGCCGGGGGCGGGTGCACGGGCAGCTCAGCCCGCGCCCAGCCATACTACCCCCGGCGCGGGGGCAAGGTCCCCACCTTACCCCTACGGTTTGCCCACTCCTGCTGCCGCAGCGCCCGGTCAGGTGAGTCTGCTCAGCTGATTGGGCAGGGGCAGGAAGGCGAGGTTACCCTGAGCACGTGATCAGCAGCGAGGGACTGCCATGATGGGAAGGGCGAAGAAAAGGAGGGTAGTCAGCTGCTGTCGCCATCTTAGGGAGGTCGCTCGCGCGTAAAGCCGAAGGGAGCAGATAGGGTGAGTGACGGGTCGCTCGACGCTAGGAGCAGGTTTGACGGTTGGGTTGCTGGGGGGCATGTTTGGGGGGCGAGTCGGGCGGGTGGGTTGCTGGAGGCAGGTGGGTCACTGGGGGGCAGATAGCTGGGACAGGTTTGGGCGGGGTAGCTTGGGGGCAGGTTTAGAGGGCAGCTAGTTGTGGGCATATCACTGGGGATGATTTGTGATGGGCTGCCAGCAGGGTTCTGCCAGGCAGAGCCAGAGCTCCTCAGGGGGGCTGGGCTTAGAGGGTTTTGGGGTTACAGGGGATGTGGGGGAGGGAACTTGGGTTCATTTGACCCTTTTCTGAGTTTGTGAGTGGGGTGAGCTCTGCTGCCATGAGAAGAGGCTGTGTCACCGGTCACAATAATGCAATGTGATGAGGGGCATCGAAGTCACATAATTGAAATCAAGTTGCCAGCATGTTGTAATACAATGCTCTGCTTTTAAAAACATCTTTATTCACTTTTCTCAGTAGACTAGAATAGGGACAAGCTACTTTTGCCTTTACAAATGCAATCCTGTTACCAGGATCTGGAATGGTCCCCTGCCCTCATCTCAACGCCCTTTGCAAGTAGCCCCTGGTGAGGTAGGTATTTTTGTTCTATCAATATAATGATTGGCCAAAAGTCACATGACAAGTCAGTAGGCTTTAATTTTGTACCTCCTCAGAGATCAATGCTACCGCGCCAGTCACTTCACAAATGTAAATAAAGTATTTGGAATTAGGTTGAACACATAGCAAGTGTGAAAAATCGGGACGGGGGTGGAGGGCAATAGGAGCCTATGTAAGAAAAAGCTCCAAAAATCGGGATTGTCCCTATAAAATTGGGACATCTGGTCACCCTATTTGGAATGGCTGCAGTCAGTTCCGTGAAAACTCTCCTCTACCGACCCATCTATGGCTGCTCAGTTCCTGTGGAGATCAGGCCATGGATGTGGGGAGGATTGAATTTATTTGGTAATTTTGTATCGCCAGATAGCCAGGGCTATGCGGGGTGGCTATCAGGAGGGGATTTTGCCTGAGGCTGCATGGGCTGTTTGGAGAAATTTCTTTTTAAAAGCTTTTTTGATAGGGGATTACTAGGGCGTTGCACACTTCATTACTTCTATAGGCTGTGTGCATTGCATTCCTCCATCCCACCCCACCAGCCCTCTCTGGTGCCCTTGTTGTACTTAAAGTACTGCACAGGATCTTTTCAGGGGGAATAAGACAAAACGCCACATTTATTAGTAATACATGTATTCATGAACACTGTATTATATGCATATAATATATTACACTTACACTCACACACACACACACACAAACACACTCCGTCTTGTTGTTACCAATTAGTTGCTCCCCTTAACTTCACTGGCCAGGTGAGTTAGATGGGGGAGGAGGTGGAGCCGGGCTTCTGCCGATCTGGATTGATGCTCCCATGTTGACAAGACGAGACCCGGGGTCCTCTGCAAGACACCTCACTTTTATAGCATCTTTCCTCTTATGCAAATCTATACCAGATTCAAACTCTGTGTCTGTGTCCATTGGTCCTTTGTGCTGCTTTCTTTTGAGTGTTGTCCCAATGCTGCAAAGAGGGTGTTTCCAAAAAAAGGTGCTTGCTTCTAACCCCCGAGGCCGTCGGTATGTCTGCTTGTTTTTAATGAGCCCACTTGACACGTTTTATTGTCCTTGGGTCTGGCTCCCAGCCCCTCTCCAACAGTTGAGGCTGTCTGGAGGTGCTGCCTTCCATGCCTTGCTCATCCACACCTCATTCATTCAACAGGGCAATTGATTAAGAGTGGGGGGGGAGAGCTCTTGTTCTCCTAGCAAAAAGACATTTTTCTTCTATCTTATTCTATCCTTAGGGGCTATAACATTATACAAGAGCAATGCAAAGTTTCTAAATGAGGCCTTGACACAAAGTCCCATGAAAACGGAGGTCACACGTGGGTAGCCCCTCCACAAGGTTATATGAAGAGGCACAATGTAAAGTCATATGAAAATTATTAGAGATTTATCTACACCCTCCCATCCCCCTCTTTCAGGGAACCACCTCCACTCCCTTCCCCCATACCATTGTCTTTGACTCCCCCACTCCTTACCATGCCAGGGGCTCGGTGTGTTCCCCAGTCCTTCCTCTCCCCATACGGGGTCCCCCCATTCTCCACCCCCCATGTGCCGGGGCATGTGTCTCTTTTATACCTTTCTTCCCCTGCGGATTGGAAGGGACAGGCAGGTGGTTGGTGCCATCTCTCTTTCTCTTTGCCTCCACCACTATGGAGAAGGCTTGTGGGGGAGGCAGCACACTCAGATGGAGGAAGGAATGAAGCCTCCTTTACACCCCTTTCCCTCTGGCTCCCCTGCTGGCTGAGCATCCAGCTCTTAGCTCTCCACAGGCAGAGCCAAGAGCAACTTTTTAAGTGAAAACAGCTTTTCCGGTTGTGACATTACACCCCATATTCTTATTCCATATTCTCTTATATGAATATGGCATGACTAAGATATGTTTTATGGAAGAGGGGTGTAAAGGGGTTTGTTAGGGTCTCCCCTCTCTGGGGCGGCTGGGAGCCAGGCCGCCTCACTACTGAGGTCCACTGAGGCAGGGAACTAGCCGGGTGAAGCAGGAAACAGTCAAGGGCTCAGGCCCTCAGGTAGGGGCTGAGCAAATAGTTCGAGAACAAGCCCGGGCCCTGGGTCAGGGCAGCAAACAAACAGGGGCTCAGGCCCTCAGGCAGGGGCTGAGCAAATAGTTCAGGAACAAACCCAGACTCCCGGTTCTGGCATCTGGGGCGAGGGAGAGACTGCCACCCATAAGTGGGGTGGCAGGGGGGACACAGGCCCACCCACTCCACTGCGTCCCAGCCCGGGGCCCTAACAGCAACAGGCAGCCTGCTGCTGTGTCAGTGGGGATCCTGGCCGCAACACACTGACATCGGCTCTGGGTGTGCCGCAGCCAGACTAGGGTCGGCTGCCCCCGGACTACTTCCTATCTCCCTCTCTAGCAGTACCTGCATCTGGTCAGTGTCCTCCACGGAATCAAGCACCATGGGCTCCTCAGGGTACTCGGCGAGCGGTAGGCTTGGCAGCCCCTCTGGGTCGCTTCCCTCCAGTAGGCTTAACAGCTTCTCCGGGGTCTGGTCGTCCTCAGGCCTTGACTGGTATGGCCAATCCTCAGGTTGGTCACAGACTGCAGAAGTCTCCCCAGTAGGAGCTAGGGCCCCAGCATCTGGCTTCTCCAGCAGCCAGGCAGCTTCTGAGCCCTGGGATGCAGCTTTTATACTTCCGGTCCTGCACTTTGACCTTTGGGAGGCAGGTGCAGGCTCCATGGCTCTGCCCACTTTGGCATCCAGAGTGGCTCATCCCTCTCTGGGGCGGCTGGGAGCCAGGTCGCCTCACTACAAGGGGCCATGTGAGGTACTGAAAAGGTTATGATCTACTGAGTGTGTTTATCTAATTTGTATGCATTTATCATTTTTTTTATCTGAAGCTAGGAATATTGACCATGTATCTGTATTTCAAATGTGCTACTTTGGGTGACACCCACAACTAGCCCTTCAGGTACAACAATGAAAAAGTCAGACAGCTCCCAGTCAGCTGCACTGGGCAACACAGTATGGGGAGGAGGTGAGCAGCCCTCAGTGGAGAAAGAACAGGTTAAGGACTACTTAGAAAAGCTGGACATGCACAAATGTGTGAGGACATGACCATACGCTTTCCAGCTTATGGCTGCTCCCCCTGCTAAGCCAAAGTCCTTAGCTTAAGAACAGGGCCTCAGACTGTCACAATGAGAGAAGGCCGTTACACAGGCTGTGATTTTGATTCTTTCTTTTATACCTTTATAACTAGCTAAATGATAAACATATACTGACATTCTTAAAGTATAGGCCTTTACAGACGGGCCGGAATTTATATCCTAACAATAAATTTGTTTTGTTTATTATTAAACCCAGTTTGTGCAATTTCTAATTGGGAGAGGGCGAACTTTTATGAGCTTGCCTTATACACAAGACATGTTGTGCAGGACAATATACCTTAGGGTCTGCACTCCAAGAGAGGTGGGCACCTGAGTGCTGGAGCAAGTCCCTTAAGCTGAGTCTTCCCAGAGCTAATCTCAATGTCTGTCTTTCTGCAGCTTGGTGTAGCAGAGGAGGCTTAAGAGCCTGGCTCAGCAAGACAGGTTAAAGGGGGCTCAGGCTGGCAGAACAGTCGGGCTCAGTAGTATCTCAATACATCAGATGGCACCTTGAAGGTGGGCAATCCGTCAGATCAGTGTTCCTGATTTTCACCAGAATCAATAGAGTTCAGCCCACTGATACCTAGAACATCCCCTGAAAATTTTGGATTGATCAGATATGATTTCAAAAGTTATCATGTTACACCCAGACAAACAGAGAAATGCCATTGGATTGAGCATAGGACCTTGTTTAATTTGGCCAATTATCATTAGTATTGTGGTAGTGCCACTATAGAGCGCCAGGCATACCCCATTGCGCTAGGCACTATACAAATACAGAAAAAAAAGCTGACCATCTATATGTGTTTTATATCATGTAAATGCCTAGAGAGCTGGCTTGCTATGCCCACTAATGAACTAACATAATTCAGTGAAATGTGAGCCCTTTCTTTGTTTATGGAGCAGAGGTAAATATGTGATTCCAGAACGTCTAACTTCGTTTCTCCAAGAATTTTAGGTCCTTAGGAAAAATATCACACCTTTTGAAAATCATGGCCACAGGTGGTGTCTGGAACGTGGGCAAGGCAAGTTATTTTTCAATATTATTTTTAACCTGACTGTGTCCCTTTAATAGTGACTTTACCTGAGGTCACACAGTGAGTCAGTGGTAATCTAAAATAGAATCCAGTTCTGACTCTCCGTTCTAACTGCTAGTTACCTGCTTCTTCCTCTCCAGTGATCATGATGATGACAGCAAAAAGGTTCACTTTTATAATGTTTTCAATCTTCCCATTGACTTCAATGGGAGTTGGATCAGGCCCCAAATGTTTCAAACAGATAAATTACAAGCTGGGGACATCATCCATATTTCCCTTCAGTTTAAGCAAGTGTCTCAAATAGTCCACCTGCTAGCTCCTTCGTTTTGCTTATGTTCTTCTTGCCCCTTAATTGATGGTCCCCTGCATGAGATGGTTCTTCCTTCTCAAGAATTCTTTAATATGTAATTTTTGCTTGTCCACTTGCCTGTTGGTTCACACTCCAGCAACACTGCATAGAAAGACAAGTTCCTTATCAAGTTTTGTATTTGGGCAGGGCACTGATGCAATCTGCTGTCTGGTGAATCACATTGCACACAGATAAATGATAAGGAATTGAATTACGTGTGTGTAACATCTCAGGCTGGCCAGCAATCTAATATAGGTAAGGTTTTATACTGCACTAAGCACCATAGTAGCTGACAATGATGTCAAAGTCCTCATCTACACTATGGAAACTACCCCTTGCTGCCAATGGGTGACAGCAGCAGGGCAGCTGCAAGTTCAGCCAAGGAAAAGCCATGCTCAGCAGTGTGTCGGAAATCCTTAGTTAAGAATTGCTCAGAGCAGGTTTGGAACAGTTTTTCTGAAAGGGTGTGGAACACAGGTTGTTCCTGCCCTAATAGGTAGTTAAACCATGTTCAGCGGCACCCATCACTGACCCTTTGGGACTTTTACTGGAGTTTAACCCATTACTGAGCCCAGCTGTTGTCAGTAATGGTTCATTTTCCAGCATGGTCATAAGCTGAAGAAACAGGGAGGCCATTTGGAAGAGAGAAAATGCCATCCACAAATACATTCCAATGCCAGGCTGTTTGCTCAAGAGGGAGAGTGCCTTCTGAAGGTGCAATATTGTGTGTATGCATAAAAAGGTGAGTGTGGGCCTCACACTCTACTATGAGATCAAAAGGACATGTTGGTATGTGCAAATAAATGTGAATAGGCTTGTTCTACCTCCAGAGCCAATTTGGGGAGAACTTCCCAGATTATGGAAGAGAAATTTATTTAAAATGTAAATTTTCATTGCTTAAAGATGTTTAAACTGCAGTTAGGGATGGTCTAGGTATAAAGTATCAGGGGGTAGCCGTGTTAGTCTGTATCTACAAAAACAACAAGGAGTCTGGTGGCACCTTAAAGACTAACAGATATATTTGGGCATAAGCTTTCGTGAGTTAAAAACCTCACTTCTTCGGATGCATCCGAAGAAGTGAGGTTTTAACTCACGAAAGCTTATGCCCAAATATATCTGTTAGTCTTTAAGGTGCCACCAGACTCCTTGTTGTTTTTGGTCTAGGTATACTGAATCCTGCCTTGGCGCAAGGGGACAGACTAGCTGTAATCCCTTCCAGCCCTGCATTTTTAGGATTCTGTTTAATATCCATTGATTAAGGATGTTCTGACTTGATCTGGCATATTAATAAGACTTTTTTGACACCTGCATGACATCAGTTCTAAATATGGCAGGCGACCAGTTTGGCTTAACAGTGAAATCCTTGCTGATCTTAAACGCAAAAAAGAAACTTACAAAAAGTGGAAGATTGGACAAAAGACCAGGGAGGACTATAAAAATATTGCTCAGGCATGCAGGAGTGAAATCAGGAGGGCCAAATCACACTTGGAGTTGCAGCTAGCAAGAGATGTTAAGAGTAACAAGAAGGTTTTTTTCAGGTATGTTAGCAACAAGAAGAAGGTCAAGGAAGGTGTGGGCCCCTTACTGAATGAGGGAGGCAACCTAGTGACAGAGGATGTGGAAAAAGCTAATATACTCAATGCTTTTTTTGCCTCTGTCTTCACGAACAAGGTCAGCTCCCAGACTGCTGCACTGGGCAGCACAGCATGGGGAGGAGGTGATCAGCCCTCTGTGGAGAAAGAAGTGGTTCGGGACTATTTAGAAAAGCTGGATGAGCACAAATCCATAGGGCCGGATGCATTGCATCCGAGGGTGATAAAGTAGTTGGCAGATGTGATTGCAGAGCCATTGGCCATTATCTTTGAAAACTCATGGCGATCGGGGGAGGTCCCGGATGACTGGAAAAAGGCTAATGTAGTGCCCATCTTTAAAAAAAGGAAGGAGGAGGATCTGGGGAACTACAGGCCACTCAACCTCCCCTCAGTCCCTGGAAAAATCATGGAGCAGGTCCTCAAGGAATCAATTCTGAAGCACTTAAAGGAGGGGAAAGTGATCAGAAACAGTCAGCATGGATTCACCAACGGCAAGTCATGCCTGACTAACCTAATTGCCTTCTACGAGGAGATAACTGGGTCTGTGGATGAGGGGAAAGCAGTGGACGTGTTATTCCTTGACTTTAGCAAAGCTTTTGATACGGTCTCCCACAGTATTCTTGCCGGCAAGTTAAAGAAATATGCTCTGGATGGACTATAAGGTGGATAGAAAGCTGGCTAGATTGTCGGTCTCAACGGGTAGTGATCAATGGCTCCATGTCTAGTTGGCAGCTGGTATCAAGCGGAATGCCCCAAGGGTCGGTCCTGGGGCTGGTTTTGTTCAATATCTTCATTAATGATCTGGATGATGGGATTAATTAATTGCACCCTCAGCAAGTTTGCAGATGATACTAAACTGGGAGGAGTGGTAGATATGCTGGAGGGTAGGGATAGCATACAGAGGGACCAATATAAATTAGAGGATTGGGCCAAAAGAAATTTGAGGTTCAACAAGGACAAGTGCAGAGTCCTGCACTGAGGATGGAAGAATCCCATCCACTTCTACAGACTAGGGACCGAGTGGCTAAGCAGCAGTTCCGCAGAAAAGGACCTATGGGTTACAGTGGACGAGAAGCTGGATATGAGTCAACAGTGTGCCCTTGTTGCCAAGAAGGCTAACGGCAGTTTGGGCTGTATAAGTAGAAGCATTGCCAGCAGATCGAGGGACGTGATCATTCCCCTCTATTCAGCATTGGTGAGACCTCATCTGGAGTACTGTGTCCAGTTTTGGGCCCCACACTACAAGAAGGATGTGGAAAAATTGGAAAGAGTCCAGTGGAGGGCAACAAAAATGATTAGGGGGCTGGAGCATATGACTTATGAGGAGAGGTTGAGGGAACTCAGGGGGAGGGATAGCTCAGTGGTTTGAGCATTGGCCTGCTAAACCCAGGGTTGTGAGTTCACTCCTTGAGGGGGCCATTTGGGGATTTAGTTGGGGATTGGTCCTGCTTTGAGCAGGAGGTTGGACAAGATGATTTCCTGAGGTCCCTTTCAACCCTAAGAATCTATGATTCCATGAACTGGGATTGTTTAGTCTGCAGAAGAGAAGAATGAGGGGGGATTTGATAGCTGCTTTCAACTACCTGAAAGGGGGTTCCAATGAGGATGGATCTAAACTGTTCTCAGTGGCACCAGATGACAGAACAAGGAGTAATGGTCTCAAGTTGCAGGTTTAGGTTGGATATTAGGAAAAACTTTTTCATAGGAGGGTGGTGAAGCACTGGAATGGGTTACCTAGGGAAATGGTGGAATGTCCTTCCTTAGAGGTTTTTAAGGTCAGGCTTGACAAAGCCCTGGCTGCGATGATTTAGTTGGGAATTGGTCCTGCTTTGAGCAGGGGGTTGGACTAGATGACCTCCTGAGGTCCCTTCCAACCCTGATATTCTATGATTCTATGAAGAGGTTGCAAGCCAAAGGGTGAGTCACTGAACCTGCTGAAGGATGCATGCATAATAGCTTGAAGCTTTCTCCATGCTGCTGGAAAGAGCAAAGCAGTCTGTGCTTAGATGTACGACTTTGAATCCTACCTAATCACTAGGCTGTAACTACAGGATTCAACCTACCTTTGCCCAGTTTCTAGAATATTTAATTCTGCTTAACTTTTGTCCGTTTCAATTTTCTCTATTTTCAGTGCCACATTGACTTTATTTGAGAGGATCAGAACTGCCAACTGTTATTGGAAGTTTCTGAAAGACCTGAGATTAATGCATCAGAGGAGGCCAATGAGAGACAAGGATGCTAGCGTGAGAATGGATCAAAAGTATGGGGAAGGCTCATCTCCAAAAGGTACTGATAAAGCTGCTAGCTGTGACCTGATCTCTAAACAGTTTGCATTATGTACACTCTAGATTGTTCAACAATTCCAAACCAACCAACATGCCAAAGGGATCTCAGCTTCTGATCTCTCATGTACACTCACTCAGGTATCTAAAAAATAGTCTTAATCCTTAATATCTGGTCTGAAACTGGTTTCATGGATGACCTGGTGAATACATCAGTCTGGGACTCTCATGCTTTCATGGGGTTTCATCTCAGTATGCACGACCCAAAGAGGAAAGAGGTTTTTTAGGCAGTAATTATAATTTTTAACTCCTTGTCTCCACAAAAGGAACAGAGGCTGACAGTCAAATTGGCAGCCCCTATGGAGGGAACGGCATAAACATGGCAGCCTGAAGTGCTGACAAAGAGCCATGATTGAACCAGTCAGCATGGCTGCTAGGCAAGTGAGAATGGAGAGAAGACTTCAGTCTACGCTACATGCACCTGGTTACCTCTAGGAAAGATTGGACTGAGCCAACTCTTAACCAAGAGCAGGGGTCTCAAACATGCGGAGCTCTTCCCTGCGGCCCGTGGAGCTCCCCACGCCTCCCCCCGTTACTTCCTGTCGCCACCAAACTCCCCTCACCCCTGCCCCCCCGAGTTATTTTCTGTGCCTGTTAAGCTCCCCGTGCACTGCTCCCCAATGTTTGGGGCACCTGCCACCCCCACACGCCCCCCCCGGAGTGTCTCCCGGCACCCACTTGCTGCCTCCTCACTGCCCCAGAGCCTGGAGTCTGCAGCACATGGGTCACCAGCACACGTTGAATCCGCTCCGCTCTGCAGGCTTCCGGCAGGTCCTAGTGTTCCTCTGCACTAGGGCCAGGGCAGGCTGCCCTTCCCCTGCCCTTCTGCCCTAGTCCTGAGCCTCTCTCTTCAGTGAGGTGCTGCCACACTGGAGTCGTTCTAGGTAAGCGGCGCCAGGCCGGAGTCTGCACCCCAACCCCCTGTCCGGAGCCCCCTGCCACATCCCACACCTCGTCCGCACCCCAATTCCCTGCCTTGAGCCCCCTGCTGCACCTCCAACTCCCTGCCCTGAGCCCCCATCACACCCTGCACCCCAACCCCCTGTCCGGAGCCCCCTGCCACATCCCACACCCTCCTGCACCCCAACTCCCTGCTGCA